CAATGCTACGAATTAGGACAAAAGGCAAAGCAGCAAACTTTAGTACCCAATCTATACTGGGAACAAAGAAATAAATAAGAAGCTCAAATAGAAGACAAAAAAGAAAATTACCAGGAACTGTTCCCTTCTCCTTTCTCTTCCTCTTCTTACCAACACAGGTATTTGTCGCATCTTCCATTTCGGATTTTTCATTCTCAACTAACTCCAGCTTCTCTAATGAGTTGTCACTTGTTTTATGCCCCTATTTTAAATATAAAAGAAATCTTCATTTGCAAAACATAACAGAGGCACACTATGACCCACAGATATACACAATAAGAAATAATTAAGCTCTCAAAAAAAAATGAAACAACAAATATGCAAATGCTATTGCTACATAGACACACTTAAGAGGAACTCGGAATTCCTTTTATTCTCTTAAAACACACAGTCAAAATTCGTTTGCAATGTAAAATCAACAAAAACTGGAACAAAAATATTAACTAGGTTTCTATTATATGCATAAGATTACACAAAAGTAAGAACGTTTTCAATGTAAAAATCAACTCAAACTCAAACGCACAATTGCAGAATCATATGTAACAAAAATTTAGCTCTTTTATTCGGATATTTAGGACGAAACTAAAAAAATTACCTTAAACCTGTCAAAATCGGTGGCAAACTTTTTACGATTGAAAGTGATGCCGCCGAACAAAAAAGATGCATCTTTTTCCATAACCCTAAACTGCGGAGAATGAAGCTATGAGTGAAACTCAGCAGGTGTTTGGTTGAAGAGGAAAATAGGACCTGAAGTTAACGAGGAAATAAAATAGAGGGGATGTAAATGAATTGCAGAATGAATATTTGGGGCAAACCCTACAACTTGTATTGGCAGCTGATAATTTGGGGACTTCAGTTCAGGGGTTTAGAACAGTAGTTTATTTAGATGCTAAAACCCTACGAGAGGAAAAGAGAGAAATAAAAAGAATAGAGTATAATTACAAATTTACGTAAATTTTCTCTTTACAGGAGTTAAAATAACTTACCAAACGTTCAAAATATACTTATTTTGAAACCACTTTTGGAAAAAATAATTCTTCATAAATTTACTTTGGAATAGAGCAGTTTATGTTCATCAATTCATTCATAAAACGCTTTTGAATGTTAGTTAAACGATTCGTGTTTGGCTGATTTTCTCTAAAATATATTTTTAAATATTTAAATTATGAAAAGATGATACGAAAGCTTGGCAAAACAAGCTTATATTAATTTACGAGTAGAGAATTTTAACCTTTGTGACTTATTTTTTACTTATATTTTGTGGTAAAATTATATTCTCATTTCATTGTATTATGAATGTACTATATGATTCATGCTTCTTCAAATAGTTTTGCAAACTTATAAAAATAAATGGCTGGAATTATCCAATTAAACGAAAAGTGTTGATTAATTATGTAAAAAGTACTGTACTAAAGGTATTGTACATATCTTGGACAAAAAAGCTACAAGAGAAATGACTTTTAAAGTTACTTTCTAATATTTAATATTTTTTTCATTTATAGTATTACTCTTCATGTTGAGCCTTAAATTAAATGATTCAGTGGCATGAAAGAATTAGATCATAATATACTTTTGTCAAACAAAAATATAAAATAAGGGACACTCGCATAATATTTAATACAAGAAATGTTATGTGTTGCAAGTGGAATCTCAAATGATAAATGTATAATTGATAAGTTGATTTTTAGCCAAAGTCTCTTGTATTTTTATAGGATTTTATGCCCCATTTATTGGAAAAAGAGACTAATTATATTTTGAATGGTTCGATTTCATGTAATGAAGCATTAAGTACGCTTAAGGAATGGAAAGGAATCAAAAATATCAAGAAAAGGTCAAGTCCAAGTGAAAAATAAAAGAAAAGCTGAAGTTTGAGCTTAGCCTTGCGTAGGCAAACTTGTGTAGGCTACACAAAGGAAGAACATTAGAAGTGAAGCTTTAAGGGCATTATGTTTTTGCGTAGGCGGAAAATCTGAAGTGTTCAAGCTTGCGTAGGCTACGCAGTTAGCCTATGCTCTTGCATCCAGCCTATGCAAGTGATCGAAGGGCAATTTTGTCCACTTTTGGGACTTAGTATAAATAGTTATTTTAAGTCATTCTAGGATATCTTTTTGACAAGAATATTTGTGCAGTAACTTTTGGGATTTTGGGTGACTGCACCACTGTTATATACAATCTTTCTTTCCTCTTTAGCTATTATGTTTAGATTTTCATCTCTTTTTGTATTTTCCTTCAGTAATATGTCTAGCTAAGTTTATAAAGCTAGGATTATGAACCTTAAGTTGGGTTATTAACCAACAACAATGGTTATATTGTTTATATTAATAACCCAACAATATAACCAACAACAATGGTTATATTGTTGGGTTATTAATATAAATTTTAGGTTTGATTAAGCTTTGTGTTATCTAATTACTCTATGCTTTATTGATCGATTTTGTGATTGCAAACACAAAATCCATGCTTATTTTGTTTGTTCTATCTTGAAAAAGTGGAATTTAGCTTGGGTATAAAGTAATTAGCTAAGAATAAAATGGGTTAATCACTTGATTAATGAAATCTAGCTAAGAATCGTGTGATTTCTACTTGTGTTAATTAATTGCACATAATTGAGCTTTGGTTGTCTTGGAAGAGCCACTTGGGGTAGAAACCTCGTAAGTGTTGGAAAACATTAAGTTGGTAGAACAAAAATTGAAGTCATAACATATGCTTAATTAACTAGAGTTGAACATTTGTATACCCAAGCATAGCCTACACAAAGGGGAAGCAATCCTATCACATTTCTCTTACTTGTTACAACTACATCTTACTTGCATTATAAGTATTCGATAAAATTCCTAGACTAGTTTACATAATAATTTTAGAAATAATTGAACAACCATTCTTTGTTTGAAGATTACATTAAGAATCACCAAATTTATACATATTTGGACACTCTAACATATACCTACTCCTTGTGGGATTTGACCCCAACCTTATTGAGTTTATTATTGCTAGCGATCGTGCTACGCTTCATTTAAAGGTGTAAGACTGGACGTCATCAATTTTTGGCACAGTTGTCGAGGAGTACGGTGTTCTTGTATTACTTTATTATTGTACGTTTTCTTGAGTTCTTGTCTTTTCTTCGTGATACCTTGATTCATGTGTGCTTGTTGTAGGTTACCAATAGCGAACAACAATGACCTTAGTGATTTTCCTCTTGGGGCCATTAATGAAGATATGGTAGATAAAGAAGCGGCTTCGGTTCAAGGAAATTGGCATGGTCGAGGGCAAAACCAATACCAACCTTCGCCGCTTCCACCACCACTACCTCCACATGGCCAGTCGTCTCAATAACTTGCCGCACTAAATGATGGCTATGCAAGTGAAATTATCCCACCTCGCATTAGAGCGGGCACTTTTCAAATTACAAATGTCATGCTCACCTTTCTTGAGCAAAGAGGCTACTTCACCGGAGCACCTCATCAAAATACATAAAGCACTTAAAGAGACTTGTATATGCTTGTTGGGGAAGTAAGCAAACAATTGTGTCCGAAGATGCGTTAAAGTTGAGGCTATTTTCTTTCTCCCTAAGGGAAAAAGCCTTGGATTGGTTAAAACACTTACCAAATCAGTCTATCAATACTTAGGATGAGTGGACGAAGAAGTTTATTGCCAAATTCTTCTCACCCGGGCACATGGCTATTTTGAGGGATGAAATCTTGCCATTTAAGCAAGAACTGAATGAGCCACTAGATGAAATTTGGGAACGCTATAGAGCTATTGTGAAAGAATGTCCTAACAATGATATGACGGGGAACATGTTGCAACAAACCTTCAACCGTGAGATTAAAATAATCAATCAATGTGTAGTGAACCAACTTGCCGGTGGAAACTTTATGACCATGCCTTACCCGGAAGCTTGTGCCATACTTAATAAGATGGCAGAGACATCATCTGCTTGGCAATTCCGAGCAAATGTGCCTCAAGGGGATCCGAATATGATTCACCTCAAGGATCTAGCCAAGAACTAATCAAAATCAATGAGGTAACTTTTAAGGATCTAGCCAAGGACAATAGAGGCCGAGTAATAACCAAGGCACTTGGGACAATAACAATCAAGGAAATTGGAGGAACAACAATCAAGGAAACCAAGGTTAGAGTGGCGGTAATCAAGGTAATTGAGGGGGTGGATCTTCCCAACAATATCAACAAAGATCCTACCAACTTCCTTCATACAACAACCAAGGTGACTCTTCAAATCATTACCAACTTTTAAGGATGATGAAAAGGATGCTCAAGAAACAAGAGCAATCCGATAAAGAAATACGAGAAATGAATCAAGTGGTGGCTTCTCATACTACTTCAATCAAGCAAAATGAAACTCAATTGGGTTAAATCTCTTCTCAATTGAATGTGAGACCACAAGGATCATTGCTTAGTGGCACAATCCCAAATCCAACGAGAGATGAGGGAATAAAGCGTGTGTTTGTCGTTTCCACAAGACGAGGCAAAATCCTAAAGAAAAGATCTATTGTAGTTGAGGATTATGATGGAAAAGGGGAGTTGCCACTCAAATATGCTTTTCCTAAGGTCAAGAGTCTCAAGGCTCCTAAGGTTTCTCTTCCCAAGGTTGATGATCCTCCTAAGTTGATGAAGTTCCTAAGCAAGATGTACCTCTCATGGTCAATGAGACACCTGAGGTGATGAAGTTCCCAAGAGTGAGGTACCAATAATAAGTCAATTATTATTGAAGAGGTGCACCAAGTACCTCTCAAAATGCAAAGGAAGTCCCTTGAAATGAGAATAAACAAATCAATAAGGCAAGCAAAGGAAGCACCTAAGGTGTACAAGCAATTACTGAGACCGCCTTCTCCGTTTCCATAAGATTTGGAAAGAAACAACAAGAAGGTCAATTATAAAAGTTCTATGATATGTTGAATCAAATCACCATCAACGTGCCTTTTGTGGAAGCTCTTGAAAAGATGTCGGGTTATACTAAATTCATGAAGGACTTGGTCATTAAGAAGAAGAATATTAATTTTGATATCATCAAGGTCACCCACCAATGTAGTGCAATCATCTCACAAACTGGGGTTAAGAAGATGGAAGACCCAGGGGCTTTCGCTATTCCTTGTGCTATTGGGTTGACAAGCTTTGCAAAAGCTTTGTGTGATTCAGGGGCAAGTAACCACTTGATGCCTTATGCCGTTTTCAAGAAGTTGGTCTTGGGTGGTCCAAGGCCTACATCAATGAAGTTATTAATGGCGGATCGCACTTTGAAGAGACTATTGGGCGTTATTTATGATATCTTGTCAAAGTGGATCAGTTTTACTTCCCCGTAAATTTTGTGATTCTTGACTGTGAAGTAGATGTAAAAATCCCAATCATTCTTGGTAGGCCTTTCTTGGCTACCGGGAGGGCCGTATGTGATGTTAAAGCAGGAGAGCTCGAATTTTGGTTAAATGTTGAAGAAATGGTCTTCCGCATAAAAAAAATCAATAACATCCACATGACCATGGAGTGATATCTGTGATTGATGTGGTTGATAAAGTGGTAGATGAGCATATGCAAGACATTTATATGGATGAAGCTTTGCATACTGTTCTACTCAATTCGGAGAATGATTCAATTGAGGGTTACATTGAAGCCGTAATGGCTTTGTAAGGACTTGGTTCCTATTCTTACAAGCCTGTAAAATTGTCCCTTGATTTGGAGAACCGGGTTACTCCTCTTACTAAACCATCTATCAATGAGCCACCAAAGCTTGAGTTAAAGCCCTTGCATTCATATTTGAGGTATGAATTTCTTGGCCCTAATGAATCTTTGCCCGTTATTATCGCATCATCTTTGTCTAGTGTGCATGTTTATTTATTGCTTGATGTGATCAAAAAGCACAAGTTGGCATTATGATGGACCATTGCAGATATCCAGGGATAAGTCCGTCCTTTTGTATGCACAAGACAACTTGGAGGAAGGGTGCAAGCCAAGCGGGAACACCAAAGAAGGCTCAATCCTCCTATGCAAGAAGTGGTAAAGAAGGAAATCATAAAATAGTTAGATACCAGAGTAGTGTATCCAATCTCAGATAGCACTTGGGTGAGCCCGTTACAATGCGTGCCAAAAAAGGAGGGATGACAGTGGTTCTCAATGATAAGAATGAGCTAATTCAAACAAGGACCGTCATCGGATGGAGGGTTTGTATGAACTACAGGAAGTTGAACAATGCTACCCGAAAGGGTCACTTTACACTCCCTTTTATTGACCAAATGTTAGATCGGTTAGCGGGAAGGTCCTTCTATTATTTTCTTGATGGTTACTCGGGCTATAACCAAATTCAAATTTCCTTGAAGTCCAAGAGAAGACGAATTTTACATGTTCTTATGGCACCTTTGCCTTTAAGAGGATGCCATTTGGTCTTTTTAATGCTCTGGCCACCTTCCAAAGGTGTATTCTCTTGATGGGTGTTTGGCTAACTTGGCCAAGGTGTTGAGATGATGCGAAGAAACAAATCTTGTTTTGAATTGAGAGAAATGCCACTTTATGGTAGAAAAACACATTGTGCTTAGGCATGATGTGTTCAAAAAGGGTATTGAAGTTGATTCGGCAAAGATTGATGTTATGGGTATTCATAAAATCTGAAAAACTGAACCAAACCGACCAAAAAAATCGATATTTTCTAGGTTTGGTATGGTTTTGGTTTTGAATATTAAAAATTGATCAAATTTGGTTTGATTTTGGTTTTAATCATAAAATAACCGGAAAAACCGAGCCAAACCGACTATAAAAGTAGCTATTTAAATTTATTATTACACCTATATATATGTATATTTTTATATAAAGTTTCTAAAATTTTAGAGTACATATTAGTCATTTGTATTTTTAGTCTAGTTTTTTGCTATTATAATAATCTAATTCATTGCATTTACATTCTAGTTTGATTGGTAGTTTTCTTTTGCTAAATACAAGAATTTATTTCATGTTACAAATAATCAATTTATAATTGAGTACTTAAATTACTCATCACTATTTGATTCAATTATCATTAATATATCTTGGTAAATGATAGATTTCTCAAAGAACAATTAATTTGTTAGTGTTAAGTTGAAAATATGGTTGCCGGAATATGTGTTTGGTAGTGTATGTATCATATTTAAGAAAAAAAATCGATAAATAATAGAGAAAACCGAAAAACCGACAAAAACCGAATCGATAAAAACCGACTTAATTGGTTTGGTTGGTTCCAATATTTGAAAAACCGACTTACTTGATTTGGTTTCTTTTTAGGAAAAAACCAACCCAAACTGAACCATGAACACCCTAATTGATATTATTGCCAAGTTACCTCCGCCAAATACCGTGAAGGGTGTAAGAAGTTTTCTAGGGCACACGGGATTTTACCTGAGGTTCAAAGACTTCTCAAAAGTGGTGAACCCATTGTGTAAATTATTGGAGAAATATTTCATGTTTCACTTTGATGAGGCTTGTATGGTTGCTTTTTGAGGAACTCAAGTGGCATTTGACAACCGATCCTATCATTCAAGCTCCAAACAGGGAGTTGTCGTCTGAGTTGATGTGTGATGCAAGTGATGTCGTCGTGGGGTTGTGTTGGCCCAAAGAGTAGGCAAGCTTTTCCATCCTATTCACTATGCTAGAAAAACAATGAATGTCGCTCAAATGAACTATACGGTAACTGAAAAAAAACTTCTTGCAATTGTTTACGCTTTTGACAAGTTTCGTTCTTATCTTGTAAGTTCAAAGGTGGTGGTGTATTCTGACCATGTTGTAATCTGGTACCTTTTGGCAAAGAAGGAGTCAAAACCAAGGTTACTTAGATGGATATTACTCTTGCAAGAGTTTGACTTGGAAATCACGGATAGAAAGGGCACAAAAAATTAAGTGGCGGGCCACTTGTCTTGTCTTGAGTTGGGGGGAGGGAGACCTTTGGAGGTCGAGGAGATCAATGAATCCTTCCATGAGGAGCAAGTCTTTGCAGTCGCAATTGTTGTGGATGATGAGTTGCCATTGTACACCGACATGGCCAATTTCTTGGTGACTGGGTTACTATATCCAAGGATTCCTTCATACTAAAAGAAGTTCTTGAGGTATAGTGACTCCTACTATTGGGATGAACATTATTTGTTTAAGATATGTGTGGACAACATTATAAGGAGATGTATCCCAAAAGAAGAAGAGATAACGATCTTGATGGCTTGCCATGAATCTCTTTATGGTGGACATAATGGAGGACATAGGACAACGACTAAGGTTCTTGAGTATGGATTCTATTGGCTCACTTTGTTCAAAGATTCCAACACCATAGCCAAAGTTTGTGACCAATGCCAATGTCAAGGCAACATCTCAAGAAAGAATGAAATGCCTTTGAATCCGATTGCAGAGGTGGAGTTATTTGACATGTAGGGAATTGATTTCATGGGACCGTTTGTGAGCTCCTACAAAAATAAATACATTCTTGTGGCGGTTGACTATGTATCCAAATGGGTTGAAGAGGTAGCTCTGCCAAACAATGACAAAGGAAAACGGAAGTGGAGGTAAAATGACTATACCCATCAGTAATAATTGCATGTGCATGCTCAATGAGTATGAACTTTTGCCAAATGGGATTGGGTTAAAAGCCCAAAGATTAAAGCTTTATTCATATTTGAGTATTCCTTTTGTGTTTGGACTTTTAAGGAAGAAGGGGGCTTAATTGGGGTTTAAGAAGCTCAAAAGCTTCTCCAAGAGAAATAAGGCAAAGCCTGTATTGAACAAGGAAATTCTCAAGTAAGAGTGTGTTTGGTATGAAGGAAAATATTTTCTAATTTTCCCATATTTGGTTGGCTTAAATGTTTTGAAAAATATTTTTCTTATAAACTCATTTTCCTCCAAATGGAGGAATATTTGGAGGAAAATGTTTTCCTTAT